AACTAGTATCCTAAGAAAAACTTTTCTTGGCAAGAGTCAGAAACAACCTAATTCAAAATACTACTGCATCACATGTATTATTTATTGACATTTAACTCTTGGAAATAAAGGGAATGACTAAAAGACACTATAATCCAGTGGTACTACATAATGAAACAAGATCATGAATGAAATTCCAAATGAGCTAACACTGGTACTGAGAATGTATGCTTAAAAATTACTGCTGTGAATAAACAGCATTGTGAACTGCTTATTATCTATATTTACTTTTCATGAAACAGAGCTTTTTCTCCTTTTACTCACTGTTGTACATTTTTTTATTAAAAAAATTTTATTGGGGAACAGCCATGGTCATTGGTTACACACTGCTTTCATGCTACAATGGCACAGTTGACTCTTTTAGGGAGGGCGCAGCTCACAGTGGCCCATGCAGGGATCGAACCAGCAACCCTGGTGTTACCAGCTCCATGCTCGAACCAACTGAGCTAACCAGTCACCCCCAATTAAAACATTTTTTTAAAATTTTAAAATACTATTTGTGAAAATGTAGTAAAATCAAAACGGCAAGGAGAACTTACATCACCCACAACCCCACCACCTTGTAGTTTTTTCCTTTCACACTTAAGACCCATTTGGGGGCCGTGAGCACGCGCAGGTCTCTCACCCGCCGCCGCCGCTCCTCGGCCAGCTGCTGCTGTTTCACCTCCTCCTCCTTCCGCCGCTTCCGCTCCCGCTCCTCCCGTTTCTTCCGCTCTTTCTCCTGGTCGGCTCTGAGAGAGGCCAGGTAGGCCTCATCCTGCTGCTGCCTCAGCACCTGAGTCTGGTTTCGTTCTTCCCTGCGGGCAGATCACAAGCATAGGAGAAGAGCAATCTCATAAAGCTCTAGGTTTTGTTTGTGTTTTGCTGTTTTGGTAATAATAAAGCATAAATTTTATTTTTTACATTATGGTAACATACATTTAGTGATGAGTCATGTTGGGTCTGTCTGCTTTAGTTAAATGTCAAGTTTTAATTTCCCCCCCATCACCCATGAAATTCAAACAGCTTTCACTTCATTTATATTTCAGTCTCAAGATGGCTTCTTTATATCCTTAGTTCATGACTTCTTTTTGGCTAGTCTTCAGATGGTTGTCCATGCTGACTGTTGTATAGTTTAGTTGTAGTTTGGTGTGGTCATGGGAGCAGGCGAGCACAGAGGTGACCTACTCTGCCATCTTGACCGAAATTCTGGGTTTTCTTTTTTTTAAATTGGCGAATTGGGGGAGGGGAACAGTGTTGGAAAATTGCGGAGGGGGACCAGCCAAGTTGTTGTTCTTCTATCTGAGTTGTGGAGGGCGCCAGTCGCCATCTGGCTGCCCATCGGCAGCTCGTGGCCTCTAAGCTCAAGGTGCTCTGTGCAGTCTTAGTTGCGGGTGGGTGTAGCCACCATCCCATGTGGGAGTCGAACCAGCAGCCTTGTTGTTAAGGGTGCACGCTCTATCCACTGAGCCATCCAGGCGGCAGCTCAGCTCAAGGTGCCTGGGTTTTCTTATATTGAAATTTTTTTGAGGTAAAAAGGTTGACAATCTTGGCAGNGTTCGGATCCCACATATGAGGGCCAGTGACACTGCCCTCTACAGCTAAAATGCTGAACAACAGCTCAACCTGGAGCTGGGCTGCCGTGAGTCGCCGGCGACGGTGTAGGCTGCAGTGGGCTGCCATAAGCTACCAGGTGTAGCCGGCAGCCAGCGTGAGCGGCCAGCAGCCACAGTGAGCAGCCGTCCAGAAGCCGGCGACTGATCTGCCTTGCCCCGGAAGAGCGCAATGAGGGTGCCAACTTGGGCCAGTGACGCAACATCCTCTACAACTAGACTGAAGAACAAAACAACAGCAACTTGTCTGTTCCCCTCCCCCCAATTCCCCAGCGCTGTTCCCATCCCCCCCAATTCCCCAATAAAAAAAAAAAAAAAAAAAAAAAAAGAATTAGAAAGGCACGCTCTTCATCCCGTACTCTATTTCTAACAAAGACTCCAAGTGATGTGCTGTGAAGGCAACGTTAACCTCTTTCAGGTCAGTCCCAAAGACTAGGAACACCCAAGCAAGTTATCCTTACTTTTGGAGGGGATCGATTTCCATTTTCTTTTTGTTCCACCTGTCATAAGCTTATCCCCCTGTGTGAAGCAGTCCTTCCTCCACTTGTCTTAAACTTACCTTTTTAGAGGTATAACTCCAGGATTTAAGGAGTAAATCCATGGTCCTCTACTTAATTCATTCATGGTTTTATAAACTTCTCATCTGTTAGTCTCTCAACATCAATCATTTTCAGTTCCCTTCTCTGAATCTTTGCAATTTCCATTAACATTCACTCTCCTTTTCTTTTCTTGAGATGCACCAATTAGACCTGCACCAAGTGTTCTTGGTATGAATCCAATGTGGGTTTTATGTAAGGGTAAAATAATATTTTGTTTCCTTTTCAATCTTGCTTGAGAATATAGCAGTCCCTTGTTATCTGTGGGGATACGTTCCAAGACTCCTAGTGGATGCCTGAAACCATCAATAGTACTAACCCCGACAAATGCTGTTTTTTCCTATATATACATATGATACAATGTATTTTATACATTAAGCACAGTAAGAGATACACAGTAACTAGCAATAAAATAGAACAACTGCAACAACATGCTGTAATAAACTGTTATGTGAATGTGGTCTCTCTCTCCCTCTGATAACGGAGCTGATAATCGAGAATCGGGCGGGGAGCGCAGACAGCGTGGATATGCTGGACAAAGGGATAATTCACGTCCCAAGTGGGACGGAGCGAAATTTCATCACTCTACTCAGAACACATGTAATTTAAAACTTATGGTTTCTGAAATTTTCCCTTTAATATTTTCGAACCACAAGTGACCACAGGTAATTGCAACTGCAAATAAGGGGGTGGGGGGTGGGGAAGTGGGCTACTGTGCTCAATATTGGTACAAAACTGGCATTTTTTGTTACCACTGAAAAGGGGCTAGTATCACCAGGAAACATGACTTCCTTGCCAAAGGTTACTTCTGGTTCGCAATGGATAAAAAAATGAGTTCTGGGCTGAGTATAATTTGGATTCTGTCTTATATGCATCATTTAAGAGAGTCAGCTGCCACTATTCTGCTCACTCAAGGGGCCTAGAAATTTTTCTACAGTTTATTCTTAATCTTAGCATTTTAGCTAAGCTAAGCATCATGTGCAAGTTGTCTATTTCACTAAACATTCACTCCTCGAGATTATGAAGGGCAGAGTGCATAGGAGGACAACACAAAGTCTGCAAGAGCACTAAAAAACTAAAAATCATGATATTTACATATACAATGTTGTACCTCCACTGTATGAACGTTAAATCATAGGCCAGCACTGCCGCTGCACTGCTCCTCCTTTGCCATTTCTTTCCCATCTCTATGCCTCTTCCCCATTCACGACCAAGTATTTCTCGGTCTAAGGTTTGTTTTTAAAAACTTTTACTGAAAACCTATTTAAAAGCCTTCAGGGATTGGTTAACAAATGGGTTGCTTCCCCTTTAGCCAAAAACCTATTCTGTTCCACAATTCTAACAGATTTTCCTCCAAAACTCTCGAGAGAGTAAGTCTGGGTTAGGTTTTTCACATACCTACTGAGAGTTTGGGGAGCAGAAGCTCCACAAAGCCGAGGCACACTGCAGCGCAATTAGTGAACGTGGCTGCAAGGCTCAAGTCCATGTAGTCGGGGGAACACACCAAGGGAAAGGCTATCACTTAGGAACCACCTGCTACACGGTAGGTACTGTGTGAAGCTCCTTTTATCCCAATTAAAAAACTCAGAGTTAGAGATGTGAGCACCTTCCCCCAATACAAAGAACCGCCTAAGTGAGAGATAAACAAAATGGGGAAGCTATTTGCTTCTCACTCAACAAGATGCCTCATAACTTTTTACTTTATAGTAGCTCTTTGAGTCTTACATTCCCTATTGGCTAGTAAGCTCCACAAACTCCAGAACCAGGTCTCACCCATCTGTATAACCCCTAGGGGGCCAAGCACAGTGCCTGACATATCTTCAGTTTAAATTTATCAAAGGGCAGGTTATATTTCCATTTTACAGGTGGGTGATAAGGCCCTGTATAAGATTCTGTAATTTGTCCAATGTTCTCTAGTTAAACACTGAAGTAATGAATGTGCACCCAGCCTCACCTGACTACAGTGCACTCTCATTTCCATTATGCAACTTACTCCTATTTCCAATTATCATGGAAATGGCAGAAGCTACTGTAGCTGTAAATTTGGAAAACCGATTCTCAATATAAACAGAAATTTCTTGTAAATGTCTAATCATTATGCTGTTCTGTACAACTGAAACTACTAATAAAAGTAAATTTAAAAAAACCCCAGAAGTTTATTTTTGGTTATAAATACCAAAATTAAGTTATCATTTCAGTGTTTACAATGAGCCAGGCACAATGTTGAACAATTTACATAAGAACTTAATCTGAACAACAATCCTATTAGAGTGCCTATTACACCTGTTATACAGATGAAGAAACTGAGGCTTAGAGATTAAGACAACTGACCACACCAACCGATTCATCCCAACAAGGAAACATATCTAACAATAACCCTGGAAGAATGAGAATTTCACTCTCATTCTGTGAGACTTTAATAAGAATCTCTGGTTTTAAGTACCTCCCTATGGAATGACAAATGCTATTTACCTATGGATGCCGGATATACAAGGCAGCCACACAATGTGGGGCTTCTTAAGGGCTAAATGAATAGGAAGGGAGAGTGACAACTGCATGCAAAGTGTGCGTGCACAGGTATTCAGATGTGTGATTCTGGAGCTCCTAGGTCAGTGGAGACAGATCTTCCCTACACAGCCAGGGGCTCTGTGATTCTGAAGCCAGTGCAAGCCAAGTGGCATGGAAGAAAAGAGCCTCCCGCCTAAGACACACACGTCTTGTGGGACTTCTTGGTAAGGCACCTTCTTTTCTTAGCAGAGCTCAGACATGATGAAGAACACCTTATTACTGCTTTTGAGTTCACAGCACGCTTCTCTCTACACTCCCCTTCCTCCCCGGTTCATCAGAGCAGCAGATACACGAACAACACTCTAGCGAGCCCTTACAAGCTTCCAAGTCTACAGGCCAGGCTCTACATACACTTCACACAACTTAGGGTCCTTACTGTCAGAGACTGTGAAAAGTGGAATCGTCTCTCAACTCGAGAATCATTGGGTAATTTGAAAATGATCTTGACACTCTCTGGGTCATCGGGGGAAGGTTCAGGGGGCAGGCACTCCAGCTTCCTTTCCTTTTCCTCCTGCAAATTCTGTAGAGACACAAAGCAAAGGTGAGGTTATGGCTCCAGTAGGGAGAGAAAATACAGTCACCATGTAGGTCTATTGTGCAGCCCGAAGAAAAACTAACAACTAGTATCCTAAGAAAAACTTTTCTTGGCAAGAGTCAGAAACAACCTAATTCAAAATACTACTGCATCACATGTATTATTTATTGACATTTAACTCTTGGAAATAAAGGGAATGACTAAAAGACACTATAATCCAGTGGTACTACATAATGAAACAAGATCATGAATGAAATTCCAAATGAGCTAACACTGGTACTGAGAATGTATGCTTAAAAATTACTGCTGTGAATAAACAGCATTGTGAACTGCTTATTATCCATATTTACTTTTCATGAAACAGAGCTTTTTCTCCTTTTACTCACTGTTGTACATTTTTTTATTAAAAAAATTTTATTGGGGAACAGCCATGGTCATTGGTTACACACTGCTTTCATGCTACAATGGCACAGTTGACTCTTTTAGGGAGGGCGCAGCTCACAGTG